ACTCCAGGGTTTACAGTGCTGTCAGTCAGACTCCCAGTGCGCAGCAGTCTGATCTACTCCAGGGTTTACACCAACTGGAGGTTCTTGTACAGATTCAGAGTCAGATTTCAAGTCAACTAACTGTAAGTGAAGGGCGATTCCATGTAAAACTACACACCATGTCTCCACCACCTCAGACTGCTCTGATAGTTTGCATCGTTAGAAATAAGATACACATCCCTGTACTGTTACGTAGGTTGCTGTAAATGTCTGAAAGCTTGACCATTGATTTGGATTCCTCGTGTCCTAATCTTTTTCAGAGAGTAGTTCAACAAAATGTGGATATTGGAAACTATTTTGATGAATATTTTGCAAACCCAGACTGACCAAAGTGTCCATTCTGGGTGCTGTCAATGTCAGCTTCATGTCTCACAGACCAAACTATATTGTAACAAAAGAACGTTACAGGGATGGTTACCTTAACTCGAGACAATCATTTCAGAGCAATCTGAGACGGTGGGCCCGTCTAAATCCTAGCTTTGGGCATGATGGCAGGAAGACGCAGCATCAGGATTAAACACCACTGCTCGAGGTCACGGTGGCGGCGAGGTTACTGGAAACAGCCAGAGCTCTGCTGTTCAATCAAAGCGATCAGTCATACAGGACCCCCTGGAGGAGGTGCTCTCCCCCTGACCTGTTCACACCTCCAGACACAGAGCACTGCTGGTCTCCAGACCCCTGGTGAGAGTCAGGGTTAGGACTGGTGTGCTGCTCCTTACCTGCGAGGGCCGATGGTGGACAGTCAGCTGAGGTCCACTGACGGCGTACTGCGTCCCAGACCTGACAGGCATACCTGGGGACACACACAGACCTTAGACACAGCTCAGCAGGAATAACGAACTCAACAGCTCAAAACGGACAACAGACGCTGAAATTCAATGCAGTGTTAACATACTGTAGTGTGCAGTCAGTGTCTATTTTAACCCCCTTCTCTCTCAGTGCAGTGTCAGAGTACAGGAGGAGTGTGTGTATTAACCCCTCTCTCTCTC